TTAATAAAAAAACTGCCCTTGAAGTTTACCATGTCATCAAAGCCCCCCACTGGCACTTGTTTCTTCACAAATTATACAAACCTGAAGGGTTTTCTTTGGGTCTGTTTGTATATAAAACAACTCAATCCATACACAAAATCTAATTCCACCCCACTATTCTCAATATTATCGGTATAATTAAATAATATCAATCAATTATTCTTACACATCACATCATTAATTCACTATTCATCCACTCATATAATTATAGCTAACCATCACTTCACATTATCTCTCTCCACTTTTAATTCAAATCAACTTTAGTTATTTTATTTTAAAGATTATTTTAATATAAACTCAAAATCACTCTAACAACTAACCATACCACCTTTTCAAAATTAACCATGTACTCACTTTGAGCGAATATAATTGTATCCAAGCACGCCCTAACTTACCTGGGTAATCTAGTCCAAAGTTGTTGTATGAGATGTTTATTTTCTGTAATCACCTATGTTATTGCCGAAATGAATTATTCCTTCATGCCAAAATTTTCTGATCTTCGATTTTGATAATTTGCTAAACTACTTACTTAACCAACCTATTTCGCGCAGGTAAATGCTATTCAAATGAAGGAAACAGTCGAGGAGAATGCCAGTACCACGGAAAGGGTATTTCAAGACCGTCAATATCAGGTCTTCTTTTAACATCCCCAACAAGTTTTGTGTACACGGAAAAAAAGTCCTCCATATGTTTATTTTTATTCCAATGGCTTTTTTCTTTCTCAACAGATTGATGCTGCCATTGTTCGTATAATGAAGACGAGAAAAGTGCTGAGCCACACTCTGTTGATAACCGAACTCTTCCAGCAGGTAAAATGAAAGAGTCCTGTTTCTGAAGTTCTGCTTTAATTGTTCGGTCTAATTATCAAATCCATAAATTACATGTAGGCCCTCGAGTTATCAAAATTGATAAATGGTGCAATTTATAATATAGTATAGCTATCAACAAATGCTAATGATATATGAGCTGTTGTCAGACTTCTGTTTAGATGACATTTGAGTGTGAAAATATTTTTTACATATATTGAAAGAGTGTGGCTTGCCTAACCATTAGACGTTAGTTAGACAATTGAAAAGAACAACTAACGTATAGCTATAGAAGTGGAAAATGTATTGGTCCATTTCTTCTCTAAAAGGGACTGTTTTTGTAATTTAACAATAAATGACGGGTTGTCATGTTGATCCTTGATCGATACAGCTCAAGTTCCCGATAAAGCCAGCCGACCTGAAGAAAAGGATCGAGAGCCTCATAGACCGAGAGTACCTCGAGCGTGATAAGAACAACCCTCAA